TGAGAAATCTTTCAGGCGGAGAGGCTATTTTGGCACATTTATCCATAAATGTCACCAAACTGTGCCAAATGTGTTTTTTACATCAATACTGGGGGTTTGTTAAGTTTATGAGGTCACGTAGCAGCTGGACCCACCGGTGGGTCCGTAGGGTTCTAGGGGTTAAGGGGTTTTTGTATTTCTAGCTTAGTATTTAACTCTGTTAATAATATTCAGTTAAAAAAAAATGCAGAAAATGGCTTTGGAACTTTTATTTATAGGGATGGAAAATGGAGAAAAAAAAGCATAGAAATATTATCTTAAATAGTGATTCTAATGAACGGATATTTGTGTTGCATGTTAAACTAAAGCTCCCAGACATCGGTCCCAAAAAGAGGTCCATATATTCATTCTCCCTTTTGTTCAGCCTCACCTGGACATGCTGAGATGTTGTGAAGCTTCTTGTCTTCAGTAAAATGAAGAAATCTAATAAGCGATCTCTGAAAGTGCTTCTGACCACAACATGACACCAGGTGAAAGCTCTGGGATTGATTTAGATGCACATTTGATATATTTTGATTCAGGTTGTGGGCAGGATTGGCCACAGCGCCTACATTAGCTAATGAACATGTTAGCCACATTAGTAATCAGAACAAACCGAGCTCCAGAGATTTACTGAAGTTTGGTGGCTGGATGAGCAGTTCCTTTTAAAGGTTACCTCATGGGGGTACTGCAGGGGTGGTAACATCTGCAGCCCTACCTTAACTACAAATACAAATCTGAACTTAGCAAGGGGGTTCGTTTAAAATTTCTGAAAAGTGTGGCATGCGTTTTTAGTTGTTAACTTACTTTGAATTCCCTAAATACAGTCCACTGCAGCGAGATATCATCACAGTACCAACCCTGACCCACTTATAATCTCACCTTAAGTCTGGGTCACACCTGTTGCTTACTGTTCCATTCGACACTGACTGCGTATAGAGAGGCTCAGACTAAGCAGAGTGAGCAGATTTCAATTCAGTTCAATTCAGTTTTTTTATATAGCGCCAATTCACAACACAAGTCATCTCAGGACACTTTACAGTTCAACCAGATCATACAGTCAAATTATAGGATGTGTGCAGATTTTTTTCTTCCCCAGCTCTGTGCCACATGAATTGAAACACTATCCCACGTTTCACTGGAAACGTTTAAAAAAAAAAAAGAACTAAAATGGCGGGACTACAAAGAAAAGTCCCCTTTTATTACCAGAACAGAGGCGGACATTAGAAATGTGATGGGAAGTACACCTAATGAAAAGGAAAACAAAGCAATAAACGCTGTGGGACGGTTTATATTAAGCATACTTACTGAGGCAGTGAGAGGTGATTCTCATAGAGATCTATAAAGTTTGTTGAAGTTTTTATTTTTTCTCCTAAAGTGGGGAGACAGATAAGCTGCCTTCCTGCACTGTCTGCCCCTTGTTTTTTTTTTGTTTTTGTTTTTTTAAAAAAATCACTATTTAATCTGTTTTCTGTCCTCCTGAACTCCTATCGTAGGTAAAGTATTATTTTTATTTTAATGTTTCATTTATTGTTTATGCACAAGTCTGCTTAATACATGCTGTTGGACTCGAAATCACACTGTTTCCCAGTGCGATTGACAGATCTTCCCTATATCCCCCAAAGCGAATGTGCTCCACTTTCTAACCGCATCTCTCTTCCTGTCAGTTCCATGAAATTGCTGCTTAATTGCTGCATAGTCTGACTAAAATAAACCTGGGGTCTGTCTCAGTTGGAGCAACCGAAGCCCCCTGAAGAAAGTTGCCTGGTGTGATCGTCCACATTTAACCTCAATGAACACTAAACACCACAAACACGTCCGACACGGTTTTTCTGTTGAATCAGATGCAAATTCTGATTCAGTGTTAAACATGGTGGTAGCAGCAGTATGCTGTGGAAATGCATTTCCCGAGCAGGGATCCATCCTTTGTCTTCTTTTGTGTTGGCAGAGTAAACTTGTTTTACTAAGGCTTCTGTTACTGTTGTTGACACCTTTAACAAACAGAGCAGCTCCATGCTAACTGCTCACCTATTCAACCTGAGGATGCCTCCTATGCAGACGGCTCCATAAGCTTAAAATACAGTCAAACTTCTTAGTAAGGCTGCATGCAGAGATAACTCTAAAAAATGTTGACCTTTTTTTCCCTCAATAACCATCTAATTAGATGGCAAAATGTGCTCAATGTAAGACCTTTAGAGAGTTTAAACCAGCTAAACTTTAAGCTGTCACACTTTAGAAGCTCTAGATAACTCATGTTTACAAAGTTTTTTACTCTTACATATAAAGTTTATATTTTTTTTATATATATATATATTTACAGTTTAGTTTCATTCTTTCTCTGAGTGGTCGGTCTTTCAGCAGATTGTTTGTTTTGGATTATTTTTACTCTAGGTAACAAGTATCAAAAATGAATCAGTTAGTATTAATTCAATGAATAATAAATCACATTCAGTCCAGTTAATTGCTTCAGCCCTTTGCTGGTCAAGATCCTGGGTAAGAATTTGAGAAGGTTAAATGGGAGGGGAGTGGAAGTGAAGTGAAAGTAGAAAGAAATAAGAAAGAGGGAGGGACTTAAGGTTGGGTAGGTCTGAGAGGGCTTTGGGCAAGAGGGCAGAGAGGGAGAAAGAGAGACTTCTCTGAGCAGAAACATATAAAGAAAGAGGTGAAAGGAGGGGGCAGCTTCTTTTAAGGTACGTTTCAGTTTTTTTTGTTTGTCTTGTATTATTTGCCTCTAGATATGCATGTACAAATGTTAAATAGTGCCATCTTGCTGCGAGCTGCAGGTTTAAGCAACCTGTTTAATTTCAACAGAAATGTCCTTAAATATGTATAAGTTAAACCTTAGAGTTGATCTCTGGGTTACCTTTAAACCGACTCTCTTTGTCATCTTTTATAACATTCCCTGTAAGGATGCTGATTCAGCACTGATGCTCTTTATCTTGTTTGTTTTTTCTTTCTTTTTTTTTAACGGTGTGACCAAAAGTTGTTTGTGAGCCTTTTGTGATTTTTGAGCCGTTAAAGTTGTTGGTCTGGTGTGAAAATGAGCCAGCAGGAAGCTAAGTGCTAACAATTCAGAGACCATGACTCCTAAGTGTGAACTTCCCCCTCAGCTGTCCTGACGTAAATGTTTTCAAAGCTTCAGGAAGAGCTTTGAGAGAAGAGGGTTCAGTCAGATTGAGACTTTTACTGCTATTAATATACATTTCCTAAAGAATATGATTTAATGAAGTGATGATCTGCTGTTTGCATCCTGTGATCTAACTCTAATATAACCAGTTTTTACAGCAGCTGTATTTTGGTGTGCTGTTTTAAGACCAATATTGGGCTTTTGGGAGGTTTGATTCAAACTTTTTTACAAATATATGCATCAATTCAGACTTTTGTATTTAACTTTAAACCCTAAAAAAGTAAAGAATTTAGTCATGAAGATTTTTTTGTTTTATAGCTTAATCCTTTCCGTGGACTCGGTCCTGCCTTCTTTGGGCGCTCCTGTTTTGTCTGCTTTTCTTCTGATGTTGCTGAAGTGTGTGTAAGTCGGAGCTGTGTTTGTTTCTCACAGGAGATTCTAGCGAAATAGACGAGCTTCATCACTCAGCGCGCCCCCACGTCCCTCGCTATAGTGACCCGTCCTACGCTGGGACAACCCCCTCACCATCGGCCACCACGGAGAGCACACAGCAGACAAACCTTCACCTGAGCCATCCTCCCCCGGAGGACCCGCTGGGACCTCTGCCTGACAACTGGGAGATGGCCTACACCGAGAATGGAGAGGTCTACTTTATAGAGTAAGAAACTTCTTATTCCTTTGAAATGCGAAGCATTTAGGAATGCAATTTTTTGTTTTTATAAAATACTAAAAACAAATATCTAACTTTGAGCATATTTTAATGTATGGCTGAGCCAAACGGACCAAAAATTAACATCTTGATACTTTAAATCTGCATGCAGATATATCATATATCATTTGATAATTGTTTTATTCATTTGATAATTGTTTTATTATCATAAATTTGATTGCTGTAAAATGTTCAGAGATTAAAATAGGAAGCTTGGTGCAGACAAATGATGATGATGAAAAGGAACTGGGTCTTAAGTACAAGTTTTGACATGACATGGATAGAAACAAAACGGTCTCATCTTATCTCTTTTGAGAAAACCTTTATATTTTTAGTCTCTATATTGCTCAGCCCTATTATGTTAGTATAGTAAGCTTTAAAGTTAAGTTTTTAAGTATCTTAGTAGTAGCAAGCTTTAAAGATTATTACATGCTTTTTCACCTTAAACAATAAACATTTTGATGTGTTCATATTAAGGAATTAACTTAATGATTAATGAACTTATCTAAAGTTGATTGATCTAATCAGTCGACTAACAATTCATTAATGGGTGGCAATTAAAAAAAAAGAAGTTTGAGTTTTCCCTTGTATTAAGATGATATGAAATGAAAATATTAACATGAACCGCTTAATATTTTGATTATTGTACACATAGTTAAGAATGAAGTATTAAATATTATATCCCCATTTACACTACCTATCTGAAACCGTGCCGAGAGCGAGCACAGTAAACGAGATAGCTGAGTGTTTCTTGTATTTGATATTATAAATATAAATATAATTTTATATAATAAATATTAGAGAATCAGGTAACATAGAAAAATGTGTCAACATCTCCACAAACAGAAGAGAGGGGTCATTTATGTAAAAAAAAAAAAGCTGAAAATTTGAGTTTAAATATAATTTTAAAATTTCTTTATGTTTTATAATATATGATTTCAATATTTTTATTAATCCATAAATAGCAAAACGACGATATTATGAGATCTAGAATAATTTCTGACTGAAACTCGATTTAAGAGCAATCCAGTACACATTTTTCCTATTAAGATTAAATTAACAGTAAATAATATTATTGACAATCTTATTAGAAGTGTATTAATTTGCATAGCATACAGTTTAATGTTGTTTTTTCATCCAGAGTGGGAACTATATTAAAATGTGAGTGTAAGTGGCACCCCAACTGAGCCCGACTGTGCCAAATGAAGCCGAACCGTGCTAAACTGGTACTAGTTCATCAGTAGGGCTCGGCTCGGTTCAGTTCTGGCTCAGTTCTCAGATAACAAAGAGCCCATGAGCAGACCGCGTCATCTCCTTACAGTTAACCTCCGTAATCATGTAACTTCAGACATAGCTTCCCTACCGTGCCTCACGATTTCCAGTAATTATTCTGATTAGTAATGCTTGCTACCATGCTCGGCACGGATTGGTTTAACACGGTGGTGCAACTGGGGCTATTATTATGCTTATTTAAAAGATCTAACAAAACAGATACCCTATTAGGTTACTGAAAAAAATCTGAATAAACCAAATATGATTCCTGATGTACAGAGATGTAAAACTATCAATAGAATACAGGATATGTCACTCCGACGTAGAATCCAGTTAATGTTACTACATTTGTAAATGGCTTACTGTGATGTAGCTCTGTTTTTAGTTTCCTCTTCTGTCATGGTACATTTGTAATTCCCTCCACTTTTATTTGTCCTGGCCTAACGAGCACAGCAGAGTCTGCATTAAACAGTTAAAGTATTCCTGGACAAGACTTGCAGTAGATTAATATTTCTGTTTTAGCGGGCCGCCCTCCGCTCTGGCATTACTTCTCACACAGAGCACCAGTGAAGATCTGCTAAAGTATAAACAGCACGCTCTGGTGGACGACAGTAACATTACAACACAAAAAAAACAAGCAGAAGTCATGAAATATGGAGATGGAACAAATGTTCTAATAACCAAGGATTTGACTCTTAATAGTAATTTGATTATTTGTTTAAATCCCTAGTTCTTATCAATATATTTTATTTACATTTTATCACTCTGTAATGCATTTTAAACAGAGGGAAGGAAACTTTTTTCAGATAAAAGAATAAGTGAGACATACATTTTTTTAGCCCTCCTGAGTCGGTTCATCACTGCCCCTTCTCATCTTCCCTCTTTTTTTCCCCTTTCATTTTTACAATTTGGCCCAAACTCAGTTAATTCTGTTAAATTTTCCATGGAGTTGCATTCTAACACTGCTCTTTTTATACTTTGATATTGTTTTAGTTAAAATTAAGTATTTAATGGTATGTGCCCTGCTGATAGATGAATCTCAGTGAACTGCTCCAGTCTTTTTTTTTATTTTTATTTTTTTAAGGTTCAAACACATTTTCTTCCTGATTACCCTGAATTTAACCTCGTCCATCTTAACACTCATTGACACTGACTTCAACACCAGCCTTTCTGTGGGCACAGTGTGTTACAGCTGAAAGGTTCTTAATTATTTTTCTTAGGCTCATCTGATCAATATGTCTTTTAGTAAACTGCAAAAATAATATTTTATGATTTTGTATGATATAACTGATAGTTTTCCTGTTGTTAGAGATGTGGATCTCTGCAGCTTAAGATAGATTACGTTAGGATCATTTTATTATTCTAACATTTCAAATTCAAAAGATTTTAAGGTTTGTGGTTCTAAAAAGTGTGAATATATTGAATGAGGTGTGAATACTTTCACAAGGCCGTGCAGGATGAAGCCTTTAATTGCAAAGCTGCACATCTGATGTGAAGAAATGGCTGCCTGTCAATTAGTAAAAGGCCATAACCGTTTAAATTGTCATCTTCTGTGTTTTGTTCAGCCACAATACAAAGACCACCTCTTGGTTAGACCCTCGGTGCCTGGACAAACCTCAGAAACCCCTGGAAGAATGTGAAGATGATGGTAAGTGAGATCTCATGTTTTACTGTGGAAATATTCTTTCTTTACTCTTTGATTTCAATATTTGCTTTTTGCTTTTTTATAGTATGGCTCTAAAAAATAGCAGATACACGTCTTATTCTGAAGTGCTCGATTTATTGAAAAAACAAGTCGTTTTTTTTTTTTTAGGTATTGATTTGTTTCCCACCATATTAATGGTATAGATCTTTAATCCAGTTAGTTTGTTTCCACAGTAACCTTTAGGTGTCACTGTTGGGCAACAGAAAGCACCAGCTCTGCTCTGTGATTTATATTTTTATTATCTCTAAGGGAAACAAGCCTCAGTGCTTATATTGGTTTATTGTTCTGGATTTTCTGGCCATCTTAAAGCAGCTCATCATGTTTTTTATTACAAATAAAATGTGCAGCTATTATTCAGGGTAACAAGATTCTTTTTTTAGTTCCTGGTTTTATGTCAATATTGCCTCAAACAACACAGATCCGGTTATATGCCAGAAACCAACCTGTTCATTTTTTGTAAACAAAGATCATCACATGATGTCGATGGACTGGCTTTCATTATTTCTTGCCACCAAGTGGCCAGATGTTGCTACTGCATCCTTCTAACTCCAGATTTTCTTCTTTTTTTCCCTCCCCCTTCTCATCCCTACTGTTTCTCTTTGACAACAATCTGGTGCTGAGCAGAAGGGGTCCATACAGAAGAGCTGGATGATCTCGGTATGAAATCATCTCTTTTTTTCCTTCACTCTTGTTTTATGAATGCGTATTTAGTTAATAGAGCAATCTACTGAATACCCCAGTGTGCTTCAGGAGTTCTAATGGACGTGTGTGTCAGTAAAGTTAATGATCCACATGCACATAACCATAACCAGTACGACCAGTGGCTCATTCTGAGGGACTTGGCTGCAGGGGAGAGGTGACGCTGACTTTAATCATCCAGAAATGAGACATCGGTCTTGCAGAGACTTGACATTTATCACGCCCAGCCCCTTGTACGTGGCTCTGACGTTCAACAAACACAGCCTGCATGTGGCCTTTAACACAATTATCGACCCACGGACACACAGGCATCAAACCACGAAACGCTCCCACCTCGGCAGGCTATCATTTCTTGCAAACCGCACATCCAGAATAGCTTCTTCTAATGATGTTTTTTTTTTCTTTTTAAACGGCTGTCTGCGTGAGCAGAATGACAGCAACAACCCCTGCTTTCCCAAAGCCCCACAGCTTTCTAACAAGCATCCAAATCATGACATTGGGTTCAGTTCTTCAGAAAAAAACTATTTCTGGGAAAGATGGCACTGATAATAACTGCCTATGATCGTTAGAGTTGCCCTGGATGAGAAATCTGATTATTGCCTTTGTAACCCCGCCTTGTTTGGCACAGTTTTAGAGGATGTATAGTTTTTAAGCTGCTTTCAGTATAAATATGGAGAAGTCTGAGTCAGTGCTTGCTTTTTCCCCCTCATTTTTAAGATTGTTTTGGGTAAAATATGTATATTTCTACTAGGATTGCAATGATGAATAAGCCGGCTCATGAATCTGCCCTGATTTCCTGAATTTAAGTTGATCAGTCGATATTTGTAGCTAAACCTTATGAAATCAAAGGCCTTAAAATGAGCAAATACTGCAAATAAGCTTTCACGTTTAAGCACATTAACTTGGATGCTGGTAAAGGTTTATATGGATTCACTGGTATTGTTAAAGGTTTTTGATCAAATTAGATCAGAATATTTAAATTGTATTGTGATATTTATAACATCAGACAGTGCCAGTCATATTAAAAGTGATTGGCCAAAATGAAAATTGACAGGTCAGATGTTTTAAAGGGGTTTGCCAGAAAGCTGCACTCAATGCAGCCCTGTTTTTTTTTTTTTTTACTGACTGACTGGGATAAGATGCCATTCAATTCCAAAGAAGGTGTCACGCTATATATTTTCACCCTGTGGAAAAAAGAAAACCTTGCATTACTGTTAAGAAGTTCCTAAAAACAACCATGGAAAGTTACATGAAATAGTTGAAGAGATTATGCTTTTATTTTCTGGCCAATCTTTTCCAGTGAAGTGTAAATATGAAGTTTCATCATGCAGAAAGGAAAATAAAAGGTTTTACCTCTAACTTAAACCATGGAGCAGATTATATTTTTACAGGAAAATTAGATTGGGTATTATTTTTAGAAGTAAATTATGTATCTATAGAGTGCACAAAATCCAGTTCACGTTGAAAAAAAGTATTTTTTTTTTTTATCTGGTGTACATGTGCATATAACAACCACAAAGTCACAAAGAGTTCTCCTCTACACCACATGCTCACCCAAGAGGGCTCAATCAACGCAGCGCAGCACGGGAACGAGATGCAAACAGTTGGGAATGTAACTCAGCGAGCTCGGTTCCGCCTTGCTTTGGAAAGTAGGATATGGGAAGAGGGTGAGGGGAGGAAAAAAAAGCCTAATGAGTGACACGTTTTTGTTGCTGCTGCACTCGTTTGCGTTTCCACACACTCGGATGGATCCTTGTCAGATGCAAGCGGCACCAGGCGTCGTCTCTCTCTGCAATCTCACGCACCACCTCCACACACACACAGGTGCACCTTCTGGAGAAAAACTAGTGCAGTGTGAAATCAAGTGGGTGATTAGAATTTAGCGCGAGGTGAGGCGAGACCGCAATCCATTTACCGTTTCAGTTCAAAACATTTGAATAGAAGAATTCACAGCCGCCACAGCTTCACCCTTGCAGCAGTGCTCTCTCAGTAACCTTGCATACCTTCAGCTTTCTGTGTCAGCTACATGAGGAGAATAGTGAATAATGAGCTCATGTTTATGCATGCTAAATTGTAGAAAAGGGAAACATGATTTTCTTGTTTCTGGCATCTATATTTATTCCCCTTTTACACTCATAACACGAATTTTAAATCCTGCAAAACTACTGACCTCAGACATTATCCTTACAGTAAAAAGAGTCTGACTGAGAGCATTTTAATCTCACTATAACTCAGAATGTGTTACAGCATAGCAGAACAGTTAGATCAAAAGTTCTGAGGAAGATTGAAGCATGTTTAAGTGAAAACATTTTTTATCGGAAGCTTTAAAAATCTCATGAGGCAATGTTTAGTTCAGCGCTGAAGATGGAAACAATGTGGTACAGCTGGAATCTTACCCAAGGCCAGACAGGAAGTGGAGAGTGGTACCTTTAAAGGCACTGCAGAGATGAACTGCTGAGAGAATCTATTGGCAGGATGAATGATTGTCTTCCACAAAACAAATTTGGTCTTTTATGGCAGATAGAAGAGGTTCATTTTAGCCAGGAAGTCATTAGAACTCCAGTTTATGTTTAGTTTTTTTGGCCTGAAGCCATGGGGAACACAGCACCTTTTTGTCAAATGAGACCAAAATTTAACTCCTTGTTCAATACACAAACTACCAAAACCCTCATGAGCCTCAATACACCCTTTACATTGAGAATACGGTAGTGGCAGTATCATGCTGTGGGGATTGAGAGGTTTTTCTTTTAGGAGGAAGGTTGCATCAGCTAAATACAGGGTGAAACCTGTTCTCTGCTATCCTAGTGCTCGTGGCTAAACCGAGAGCTAAACATGCAAAAATACCTGCATTAAATTATATAATGGCCTAGTCAAAGTCCAAATCTTATTCCAGTTGAGAATCTGAGAAAAGACTTGAAAATCCAATGGGACTAATTTTAGAGTATGTTAGAAGTTTTAATTTTAGTCTCAAAATGTGCAATTGCAGTAGAAACGTACCCAAAAATATGCCCAGCTGTAAGCGCAGCAAAGATTAGTGGTTGTAACGTGTCAAAAGGTGAAAGTTTAAGGGATTTTAGCCTCCTTATAACAAGCAAAGATTCCCTGTTGTTTGTAATAATACACACCCGCAAACAGGACCTAGCATCAGAAGATAGAAACATCTGCTTTTAAGAAACCTCTGAAACGAGTTTCTGAGGATGGATACTGGCTTTAAAACACAATTCAAATTTCCTGTTAGGAATATATATTATACTTATCTCAATGAGACTGAATTCAGCTGCTGGACAGTGACATATGGCAGAGCAATCCCATGCATATTATATCCTGACACAGATTTCCTCTTTTGGTTCCATCTGTAGTTTATTGTGTTTGAATTTAAGGCAACTTTGAAGACATGCAAAGAGATACTCAAGTGTGTGTAGAATCCACATGGTTATATAAATACACAGAGAAAGGCTAAAGTGCAAGAAATTAATTAGAAAGAGGCATCAGTCACCGTATCTCTCTGATACAACCAAGGACACCTTACACGAATTGGGTGTTTGAATTAGAGTTTTTTGCATTTATAACATTCCTCTGAGTGTTTGTCAGTAAAGAAAATAAGAAAAATGTCATTTATTAAGCTCTCAGCTAAACACACTGTTAGGTTAAAAAATGTTGGTTCGTAAAAGAAGGACTGAAACACAGTAAGGGATTTTCAACGACAGCTTCTGCAGGAGCGGAAAGAGCCCAACCTAACTTCCAACTCTTTCTTCGACTCCCCTCCTGCAGCCGTCTTTTATTAACAGAACATAACACATGGTTGCAAAACAGTATTGTTCTGACAGAACAATTGATCAGTTCATAAGACAGGATGCTCCACCAGAATCACAAGGCAGGGTGGTCTCCTGACTGAATCACAAGACAGTTTGGAGCATCCTTGCTTCAATGCTTATATGTACATACATTCATTTTATAATCATCATTAAATAAACCTAACACACGACACATAAATCTTTTTTTATCAACTCAAGCATGTGTTTTTAAAATCCTGATCAAATCTTGGATAAATCCTTCCTCTACTCCTTTTGTTTCCTCGCCTCCTCTACCTCCTTGCTCTTCTTTCATCTTTTCCAACTCTCCATCCTGCTCGGCTCTCCCTCTCTGCGACCCTACTGGCCGTTTTCCTCCTCCCTTCTGTTGCCAGCCTTTCATACATCTCTACCCATGGGGTCCAGCTGTGTTCTTATCTGATGTGTGGAAATGTCAGCAGCGAGAGGTGACAGAGGTCGGGTTGGGGGGGAGGGACCTGTGAAGCTGTCCAACCACTCCGATCCTGGAGACTGACAGATTGGTTTCAAATGATTTAAATCATAGTATGGGTGCATCCTAATAAATAGATTTATATTGAGAAATACACACCTGGAATCACTGCGTATGTATAGTTTCAGTATGCACATCAAAGGCATTTTTTTTTCTTTTTGGTGATTATGGCATTTAGTTAATATCGCCAAATTTAGTCCAAGGTAAGTTGCTTTAAGCCGGGCGTACACTGTGCGATTTTTGTCAAACGTTGCTCGCAGCTCCAGCTCACACTGTATGACGGGACCGCAGGGTTTCATCGCACAGTGTGAGTTCATAGCTCGCGATGCATGTTCTCATGCATGTGCGGCCCGATGCTCTGATGCACGTCTAAAAACCATGTTTGACTCAGCTCTGCAGTGAGATGGTGCTACTCGGACTCGTCTATCTGAAAGCCAAAACAAGTAGAAGAGGAATATGAAGCTCACTAGAAACCCGCTGCCTTGGCAATTTGTGTCATTTTGTGCTGAAAGTCCTAAGAAGAAAAGGCGACGACGTATTTGGACAAAGACATGGCTGAGCAAACGTGGCTACTACGGTCTGTCAATTTTACAGAAAGAACTCCATTTCACCCGCACCCCCGCCATGCTTCTGTGTTTTCATCTGAGAGGAAGAAGCAGAAGAAGAGTCCTTGTTTGCGCACTGAGGGAGTTTCCCATGACGGCTGACTGAATTTCAAACATGTTTGATTTTCTCCCGACCTCACGATTCCTGATCGGGAGGTTGTCGAGAGAGGCTGATCGCCCCTCGTTAACACCCTGTATACTACACAACGCACGAAAAGGCTGAAAGTCGGCCCGGTCGAAAAATTCTTCCAGTTGGCCCAAAAAGGGCAAAAAAATCATACAGTGTATTCCCGGCTTTAATGTTCTCGCCTGCTCTGCAATTTTGTTTTTTTGCAGCTGTAAAAAAATGTATGGATAAAAACACTTGACACTTATTAATCTTTTTTTAACGAATTCATCTGAGGTTGAGAATGACTGAAGAAAACAAACATTTTAATGATTTGGTCAAATTTTGGTAACACGCTACTTTGGAAGGGAATTTGCTTCCCTGATTGTGACACCGGCAGCCATATTTAAGCCTTTAAAGCAATGCACATTTTGGAGCTTGGAACAAAACCTACATTTATCAGAGTTCAAACGTAAACACTTACTTCCCAGATAGGACAAGCAGCCTATGAGGAAAAACTTAGGTTCAGCGACAAATAAATCAGGGTGTCATCAGTGTATGTTTTGACATGATTTTGTACAACAGTGATGATTAAGTTAAAAGCAACCTTGCAACTTTATGTCTTTATTATTATTTTCTTCTCTCTTTCTTATAGAACTTCCTCCAGGATGGGAGAAAATTGATGATCCAGTCTATGGGGTCTACTATGTTGAGTAAGTACTGTAGCACATATTTGAAATATGTTTACACGACAGTGCATTGGTGGATGCTGCAGACCTACAGCCTTTGCAAATGATTGTAGTTGCAGAAAGAAAGCAAGTCTTTTTTTTTTTTAGTCCAACAAGCCACACTCTTGACCTCACTGTAAATCTGAGCCTGCAGTTTTGTTCCATCAGTCCCAAACAGATTGTGCCTCAGCTATTTTGAGCCGCTGCGCTACGGCTAATGTAGGCCATTCTGTTTGTGCTATTACCATTTGGGAAAATAAGCAACAATTGGGTTTGTTTTTGTCTGCATCTCATTCATTTCAGACGGCGTGAAGCCGCCGGCCCCCAGCATTAATACAAATATGTTCTGTGTGTATTTGATGTTGTTCAGAGCAGTACCTGGGGGCTCGAGGATGTGGCGCTTCTTTTTTTGTCCTCCTTTGTCAAGGCAGTATATTTTCTCATATACATTATTCAAAATTGCTCTCATTTGCCTCATAATAAAGTGCTTTCAGCTGCTGGGATCCTCCCAGGCACAATTGTTAATGTGAGAGATGTTTCACGGGTTAAACCAACAAAAAAACCCTTTGCAGGGAATAGATTAAATCTTGGTTTTCAAGTAAATATATTTTTAATAGAGGTATTGACATAAATCTCTAACCAGATTGTTGTAAAATTTTAAATAATCTGCACATAAAAAAAATACATTGTAAGAAATGTATCAATAGATTGTATCATGATTAATTAGAAGGGATAATTGAAGGAAGGAACCAAATGAAGTATTGTGTAATACTTTGTAGGAAGACCTTGTTTGGTGATGCAGATCAAATGTGTGTCCTGCCCATTAAAACTAGTCAAATGTATTTCCCATGTGTGATTTAAAACCATTATTTCACATCAAATATCCTCAGGGCGGGATATTTTCTGCACTCCCTCCATACTCTGCTGTCAGGCCTTACTATGGATTAGGTTGGGTCGCTGGTGGAATGAGTCGTTGTATTAGCTTTGCTTGTTTTCTGTGTTTGGGAATCTTTTTTTTCTGACAGTGAATGAGCAGGAGCTTAGCAGTGAAATGCACATTTCCATTTGTAAAGTGCAGCTGTGGTCAAAAATGTAAACAGTATGGGAGAGACATGGTGCAAAAGGCATTTATGTTGGTGGTTCAGAGCAGTACAAAAAAAAAAAAATGATATGGTGCAAAATGCAGTAGAAACACTGAGTTGAGTTCTATTTGAAGATTCAACAGATTAGTGCAAGTATGATAGTGTGATGCAGAGTCTGGTAAGTGACTTGATTAGAGTTTTTTTCCCGACGTTTCAACAGTCTTATGGCAGTGCAGAAAAAGCTGTTACAGAATCAGCTGGACCTGCATCGAATGCTGCTAAGCCTCATTCCAGAGGGCAGCAGGGAGAACAGTCCATGGTGGGGGTGTGAGGAGTCGATGATGAAAACCTTTTTATATCAGTTAGGAATTAACCACCTGATATTCATTTGCGCTGATAGGAGACGAGATATTGTTGGCTTTCTCTGACCTTTGGATCTCGTATTTTTCATGTGTTTAATACCTATATAAGTCCTATAATAGTTTTCACAAGGGCTGGGCAATATCAGGAAAACATGCAAATTGCAATGCTGTTTCTAAAATATGAAGATGATTACATTAAATACAATTTAAAACACGATTGTGTCAGTTTATTTTTTATTTTTTGTAAAGTCTACAATGTCCAGTAACACTGGTTTAGAAGGGATTTCATTAAATTTGTTTAATTGAAGTTTATTCAACAAGCAACTATTTTTTTGTCACAAACGTCTGGTGGGACTACTAGTGACCACAGGTCTGTATATTGGTTTATTAATCACTTTTCTCCTTTTCTCCCCCCTGTTCTCCTCCTTTGGCCCTACCTGACTCTCCGCTCTATCCTCCTTTGTTTTTTTTCTCCTGCTGATTTTTCCGGTCTATTTATTCATTTTTTCTTCCAATTCACTCCTCCTGCATTCCTTATATTTCTCCTCTCCACAGTCATATCAACAGGAAGACCCAGTATGAAAACCCAGTGCTGGAGGCTAAGAGGCGCAGGCAGCTGGAACAGCAGCCCGCCCAGCAGCCTCAGCCCCAAAGCCAGCAGCCACCTGAAGGTGAGCGCTACATCCGAGGTTCGTTCACAAGCCCCCACCAAGGGCGTCATTTTCTTTCTTTCTATTCATGTTTATCCCTCTGTTGCCTGTGTTGAACTGTTAGCACCAGTTACTGCTGCTCTGCCTGTTAAAGCCTTATGATTTGCTAAACGCTCTTCCATAAAGGCATAACTATTATTTGCGGCTGTACGACGCAGCCTTTTATTTACGTTCCTTTCTGATTTCTCTGCAGCATTTGTTGTCTTGTTTGTTTTATTGATCTGAAGCTTTTCTCCTAGAGTAAAGGAAAGGGGGGGTTTAATTCTGCTTGAAATAATAAAACCTACATAATCTTCTTTTCTTCTAGTTTGGGTGAAAAATATTCCAGCTCTTCTGTAAAAAATAAAGCTTCTAAACTCCACCAATATATAGGCAGCCTCTGCTTTCTGAATCTATGCTCATGCACTCATAGGAAACCCCACGGAGGAATTGATTGTAAATGCATGTCAGCCCACTAGGGAATTCACTTATTACGCCCCACCGTGTGCTCATCCAGCAGAAAACATTAGATTCACCTCAATTACCTGCTGATTTTTCCCCCCTATATCTGAAAGGATTCTCCCTCCATGCAGAGTTTTACTCATTTTGCACCCGCTCGCTGCATCGATTCTATCTCTCCGCTGAGAATACGCATCAAGATTTCAATCTGATCTTTCAAATACTGAAATAACAACGTAATAAATCATTCACAGACACTACAAAAAAAAAAACAAAAAAAAAACGTAAACTTTAAGGAACCATTCAAACAGTTCCCACCCATTAGTCAAAGTGCGATTTCTTCCTGCTTTGATTCCATACCTGTAACTAAATATTTTTGTACAGCGTCAGTTTACTTTCCTTCTTATTTGAATGCTTTTCAGATTTACAAAGATAGGTAGTTGTAGAAATGCGTAAATGTGATTTAAATTCATTCGTATATTATTTTTTTTAAATCAAACCTACCTCTGATCAGCCTCATGATGAGCTTTGTTCAAATTCATAAAAACCATGTACCCTTGGAGGAAACTATGAGCCCATCTTAGGAAATCACTTTAAATCGCCAGGATTTTGGCATAGCTTATAAAACCCCTACAAGGTGGGCATGAATTGATGCATAGTCTATATGAATCCCATTTTGTTTTATAATTAAAAGAAGTTGAATACAAAACCACAAAGGTAGAAAATAATTATTGGACCTACAGTAATAACCTGCACCGGATCAAGTTGTAATTTGGTTCCATTCACTTTCTGAGTCAGATTGTTTCCTGGAGCAGGATCGCTGTCCTCCCTTTCTACCCCGATCTAGAGAATATGTGGTTTTGCTGTTGCAGAATGGATCGAGGACTCCGCATTGGCAGGCGCCCCACTGGCTACCTACACTGCCAACCACGAGACCTACAGGGACCCTCAAACAGGTCCGCCTGTTCCCAACGCCATGGGACAAAAACGTAAGTTCTGTTGTGTAGAAATTGAAAGGTTCATTCGTTTTCTCTCTCTCTCTCCCTCTCTGTGTTACCCTGAGCAGCTTATAATGTGCCAACAAGATTCAGTTCCTACTGTCATTTTTCTGCCAGTGCCTGAGGCAGTATTTTAGTTCTCAAGATGAGGGCCAGTTATGAATTGACACAAATAGTTTCATTTATTCTTAATCAATATGTGGACTCTCTAGAGTTCTGTAATGTTCCGTGCTCAAATCAAATAGTAGCCTGATTTTACCTGTGGTTTAGTGATGCACACACCTCCAGCTGCAGCGTGTTTCCTTCTCTTGGCTGCCAGCTCCTTTCATGCCAGCCTCCTACTAGCAGCTTGTCTAATTAGCCCAGTCATTGCTTAGAATTAACTGCCTTATTCTGAAGCTGCCTTTTTTACTCTCTGTGCCCACTCCGTCGAGGGGGACTCTTTCCTTTGTTGAGCTTTGTTTTAAAGCTCCCTGTCTCACTAGGTTTTCTCCCATCTTCCATCAGTCACTGTTATACTTTTGTCCATCTTCTTGTCTCCCTCGGGGCTCTCCCATTTCTGTCTCCTTATACACCACCATCCTGATATCCTTAATATTAACCCACACAAAGACATCATTTAAAATCTCCTTTTTCCCCTGATTCTTAGTCCATTCTAACATGAATACATTAGCTCACAATTGGACTGCATCCCTTCTTTGATAAGAAACGCTGTTATAAAGCGCTCTTGCAAACAAATATGCCTCTGCTACAAAATATCACTAACAGAAGGACTCTGCTAACTTTTCAAATGTGAATAAAGTAATATGTTGGATCTAATCTTTTATCACATAAAGTTTGAATTTTGTTTTGATATAAAAAGTTAGACCTCAGACCTTTTTTTTAATAAAGATGCTTATTAATGTTCCAGCTTTTGGCATTCTAGGAAAAAAAACAGCATCATAGGAAGTCGAGGATGCTGTCATTTAGACTCTGTTCTGATCTTCAAAAGGTTTTCTTGTATTCAAACCTGTTTGCACATGTGCCTTATGTGTGTGGAGATCGACCAGCAGCAGGTGTAAACATTTCATTTCGTTTGCGCCTTCATGAATATGAAGATCATATTCTAACACCAGGTTCACACTGAGTATGATGAAAAGGGATATTAATGCACACAGGTAGCATAAACCCATGTGAACCTCCTTCTTTTGCGCTGCCGTTTCTGCGCCTTAAACCTTAGCTGGGCCAAGCTAACTGGGGTGTTCAGTAGGATTCATTTTCTACTGCAGCCACACAGCATTAGCACCGTATTTAATGGGAACCTGAGCTCAGAACCAAACTGCACAGATTATGGTTTGGGGATATGCAAGTATAAATTCTACCTCACTTCCTTTAAACCAGAAGCTTGTTACTGCTGTAGTTTTTCATCTAATTTCATACTTTCAAAAATCAAATGCAAACTTACACGCAGAAACATCTGCAGTCATTATAGATTGGGAGGTTCTGTGCACATATTAACGTGTTTGGATGGTCAGAAATGGGACCTCAGGAGGACAACTGTACAAAATTCTATTTTTTATAGTTATGTGCAACTTTTTATTTTAATCTTTCTATTTCCTTTGGTTAGAGCTATGCATGGGAAGTGCAAAATACATTTTTATTTATTTATTAATTATGGCCATTATTAACTTAAATACCGTTGTTTAGAACCTCTTTTTAACAGCAGCTCTTAAACTGGAAGTAGAACACGGTATTCTCTATCCAGTTTACTCTGCATATATTTTGTCTGTTCAGTCTTTGTATATCACCTGTAAACTGACCACTTACTGAGCACACCCATTTTATTTCCAAGGCTTTTAGCACTTATTTTAAAACTTAAAGATCATTTCTCTTTGCCAACAAGGCTGCTTTCTTAAGTTTAAAAGCTATGCCTTTCATAGTTTTCCAGCTTTTGATAAAATACTTATTTAGCTCAATAAAAGGTGGGTGGTTCCTCTTTAGTATCCGTCTAATGACCCTTTGGAAAATGTCTGGAAATATTATTTTTAATTGTGCAGAGTCAATATAGGGAACTCGACAAACACTTGGAAGGTCTTCTGTTAGTAATACAAACAAATATATATATATATATATATATATATATATATATATATATATATATATATATATATATGCTGTATATATATCTATATATATGTTGTTGTTTTTTGGCCTATATAAACAACATATCACAGTGAAGCATGCTGATGACAGAATCATTAAACTAACAGCAAGATAAAGTAACCTCCTTCTAGTCAATATGTGCATCAATGTCCCTCTGTGTTTCATATAGACAATGTTTCCCTGCTTCCTCGTTAAGAGTAACTGAAACTACAGGACTGATGTGTTCAAGCATTTAAACATCTTGTGGTTGACGAGAGCAAAAAATAAAGGGCTGCTTTTTTAGATACCGTAAAAAAATATTTTAAACATATTTAGCCCAATGAAGTTAATTGCTGAAGGACATCTTTACAATGCAGACTTGTTTTGTCACTATGTATGTTTGTATGTCATGAGTTTTCATTACTATTTGTTATTTAGATCGGGCCTAAATTCGGACCCAACAGTATATAAACTAAAAAAACATCTTGGATTCTTTCTTTCATCCCCACCTGCATGATGCCATATTTGCAATGGCAAAGAATGCTAGCTTTAACTATGATTATGTCTGGGCAATGTTGGCAACATTTCTCTAAGAATGTTGGCCAGGTTTTAGGACCGCACGCAGCTCTAGCTCCTCTAAATACAATACGGAGCTTTCTTTGATCTGATCAAATTTCTGCCCATTTGCGCGAGCTTAAGTAAAACAGAATTATCCATCTTTGTGTTCAGGTGGGAAGCCTTTCTTTACCAGGAACCGATCAGAACTGAATGGAACATTCATCAATACCAAATTGAAGAAGAGCCGTCGGGGATTTGGGTTCACAGTTGTTGGAGGAGACGAGCCAGATGAGTTCTTGCAGATAAAGAGCTTGGTTCTGGACGGACCTGCAGCCCTCGATGGCAAGATGGAGACAGGTCGGTTAATGTTTTACGTAGTGGGAATTCTTGCGTCTTGAGTTCAGTCACAAAAAAACGTCTTTCTCTCCACATCCAAGGTGATGTAATCGTGAGTGTAAACGAAACCTGTGTCCTGGGCTACACGCACGCCCAAGTTGTGAAGATCTTTCAGTCCATCCCAATCGGCTCCATGGTTAACTTGGAGCTGTGCCGTGGCTACCCACTGCCTTTCGACCCTGACGACCCCAACACCAGCTTGGTAACCTCAGTGGCCATCCTCGACAACAAAGATCCCATCATCGTCAACGGCCAGGAAGTCACCAACAGCTACGACTCCCCTTCCAGCCAGGGCAGTCAGAGCACCAACAACGGCCCGACCAACGGCGGGCCACCTCTCAATGGCTTCACCCGACCTCACAGCCCCTCCACTGAGGTGGCGTCTGATACCTCCTCGCAGCTCGGCTACTCTAGCGACGTGGTGAACCTGGCTTCGGCCATCGCCACGCAACCAGAACTTATCACTGTACACATGGAGAAAGGAGACAAGGGCTTTGGCTTCACCATCGCTGACAGCCTCGGGGGTGGAGGGCAGAGGGTGAAGCAGATTGTGGACTACCCTCGCTGCCGCGGCCTCAGGGAGGGCGACATCATCGTCGAGGTGAACAAGAGGAATGTGCAGAGCATGTCTCACAACCAGGTGGTGGACATGCTCAGCAAGTTACCAAAAGGCAGCGAGGTCACCATGCTGGTGCAGAGAGGTAAGCAAAGGCCTGATCTTTCACTTTTATGCACCCGATCTGTGAGTACCTACACCACTGCTTTGCTCTATAACTCATCAGCACAGATGGAGGAGAGAACGCTAGAGTTTAAGATCTGTGGCAGACTCTGATTTATGTGCCCATATGTTGAAGCGCTGCAAAAAAACAACAAACCTTTGCCATGGAGCTGCTCGATACTATTGACGAAAATAATAGCCCTTCTGCCTTACAGGCTGTTTTCACTCACAGAGCTCCTTTATCGACACACACATTTATTTATTCATGCAAATAGATGGTGGCGAAGGGAAAAAAAGAGATTGGATTGCGAACAAGGGCAAGTAAAGCATGATGATTATGGTAAGGAGGAAAGGAAGGAGTAGCAGAGGAAGTTCAAATAACATTTGAGGGAAATGGATGATCATGAGCAGGAAGAGAGGATGGGGTGTTTATACTGAATGGCACAAACGTGATGCTGCAGAAGTCTACACACCCCTCAATGTTTTTGTTAGTATGTTTTATTTGGGATTTTGCATGTTCTTAAAATTGAGGATTGTTTAGACATGACCAACCGATCCTCTCTTAGTTCACAAAAGTCTGTGGATTCAAGAACTCTGGTTATGTGCAATTCTGAAATTAGACTTAAAGAGTTTTATTTTAGTAGAGCCTAAAATCTTTTAGGGAAACCACTCTGCCAGCTTTGCTCAGATTTTCGATAATGTTTCATCCCTTTTTTTTTCTTTTTTACAAAATAGCTCTAAGCCAACATCAACAGCAGATTTCAAGTTTCTGTAGATGTTGACGAAAACGCCACGATTTTGACCATCTTATCCTGACTAACTGTATGTTTCAGACCTTTCTGATTAACGTTATTGCCAGCTTCAACACTGTCCTGCTTTTAATTTTATCTATGCCCCCAATCAACTGACCAACTTCAGCAGCTTTACAATTTGAAGCTGCCTTCACTTTGTCGCCATAGAAGTAGCCTTTTGATTAAGTAAGAAGGTTAGATTTTGGTCTCTTCTGGGCTGAGGACCTTCTTATGCTTTTCTTCTCATCACCTTTTCATTAATATGAGGCCAGCTTTGCATAGTTTCTGACTGATGGTTGTCCTGAGGTCTGGAGACGCTGTAGCTCCTCCAGATTTACCAAGAACCACTTGATTGATCGTCTGATAAGTCCTCTGGCTTTTGGATTTATGCTGATTGCCATAATTTGGTGGGTTTGCATTTGTGCAGTTCTCATTCAGTTTTCAGATGATGGACTGATCCACTAAGAGATGTTCAAAGTTGGGGTTTTGTTTTTATACCCAATTAATGCTTTCAACTTCTTCATTGTCTTTCTGAATTCGTCAGCTGTGATACCAGTTCTTCATGATGTCTTTTGTTCACCAGGAGGTCTCTGTTGGCAGCAGTGGGGAATCACAGCCAGCCTTTTTTGCCATTAGGAAGGGAGATTATTAGCAAGTCAACCCAACCTGTGCTCAACCTGTGTTAAGCCGCTAATTTCAGTGGGAACGAGGCTAATTAGGTGAAAGAAAACTGGATCATGCAGAACAATGCATGGTGTTTGACTGATTTAAAGAATCAAACAATAAACTATAAAGATGCTTGTTTCCGTGTGACAAAATGGGGGAAAGGCAGAATATGTCTGGATTGTTTAGCAAGGCCCAGTGGCTGACCTGAAGTGGAAATGGCATTGTAAGAAGAAGAAAGAATAAAACTATAATGAGGGAAGAAAGACTCAGAGATGCAGTGGTGTTTTTTTTAGGTCAGAGAGTCTAAATATCCTCACTTATTGTTCTTACTCTGTCTCAGACCAAGCTTATCTGTCCTCCCAGATGCCCTCTGCTTTATTCCTGTTTGCTGGTTGAAAACCTGTCCAGTTTAATTTAAGCTTTCAGCATGCCCATCTTGGAGCAACTGGCTTTAGAGGTGCAGTCAGTTGTGCTTTATTTTCCTTTTCTGTCCACCTACCTAAAGTCTTTGATATTTTGCCCTCAATATAAATGCTCCAACTTCTTTAGTCAGTTCTTTGGAAACTGTGCAGCAGCTTGTGAAGGATTCTGCTCAAGCTGCACCACTCATCTCTTTTGTTACGGCCACTGATTGACAATCATTGTTGTGCAGGAACATTAAATGGGAACAAAGCAGCTGTGAAAAAAGGATAAAAAGTTCAATAACTGAATTTCAGTATTTCCTTTCTGGTACCTTACAGACTTACCAGTCGGGGTTCCTATTAATGGCCCAGTTTCCTCAGTCAGATTGCTCCAAACTTTTCTTTTTAGCTCATGAGTTCAGGAAACAAAACCAGTGTTTCTATGACTTTTATTATTATTGTGCATCTGCATGTGTTATTTATATCCTTTGCAAGGTGATGTGGTTAATACTCTTTAAGGAAATTCATCAGGTGTAATATTTTAACAAGCGGCTGCCCTGTTGCTTCATGCATGCCATGTTTATTTCTAGATTACATCTTCGATTTGTTTATACTGGGACAGTCCCGTATGAACTGGCTAATGGTTGGAAAATATCAGAGTTTAATAAAAGACATGTACGACAATGACACGGGATTGGACCAACGGTCTCGATGGCTTTTTAATAAAATAATATTCAACCCTATTTAATGTTAAACAGGAACAAGAGAAGAGCAAAAACTGACAGAAAGAGTAAATGTGTTTGCTTGTTCTGTGTCAAGGAGATTAATAATAGTACAGCAAGCTGCTGACTGCACTTCTCTGGCCTCCACTGTTAAACACCATGTCCCAATGATAAAGTGTTTGGTTCCTCTGAACAAGCCGTAATGAGCATGCCATATTAACTAAAACACTTCAGAGTCTCCTTTTTTATACAGCTGTTGCACATCTGCAGTAAAAAGCATTATAATGTCATAGCTCTGATGCTGGAGGAAACGTAAAGTCGAAACGTTAATTGTTATGACCATTGTGACCTCCGAGACAGCACAGACTCAGTTGATTTTGTGTTCGATTGGAAATCCGTCTGCACAGCCAATGCTACTTTTACTTTCACCATTTGTAGAACTTGATATTACACGATGGCCGTTTCTCAGTTCACGAGGAAGCGAGTATAGACTCGTGTTCTCGCCAAGTATGTTCTTGACTAGAACACAGGAAGGTATCGACTTGGGGAGAACAGGAACACGCAGCATCAATATGGGTTAATTGGAACAGAAGCGTTCTGGTGACATCACGACATTCAAACCTTGTCTGGAGCTGCATTAATCCTCCTGTTATTAATGGCAGTGTCGCGCTGATGCCATTTTTTTGGCCTCAATACCTGGCTGTGCAGTATTTGGCCGATACCATACCGATACTATCTGTTTCAAATTAATGTGTGTGTGCATATATGGAGAACTACATACTACTTGGATGTATAATGATTGCCATCATGGCTTTGTCAAGCTGCTGCCTAACTGAACACTAATACAAAGTGAATCCAGTAGAACTTTTTATTTCCTACCTGGAATGGGTGACAATAGTTGAATAAAGTTTTGGCTCTCAAAATGGTATCGGTGCCCTATTTGTTGGTATTCGCCGATACCGATACTCCCATTTTAGTGCTGGATCGGTACTGATACTGGTATCGGTACAACAATAATTAATGGTTACAATAAATTATAAATTTTTTTTTTTTTAGTGGGGAAATAATAATTAACACAGTCGGATAAAAAAAAAATCAAAGGAAAATTTTCCCAAATAAAATAAAAAAATCAGCATCAGAGCCAGCGATACATCACGCACTGCTATGCCGAAAGAGGGCTGCTGATGACCGGCCGCAGTTAGCCTCGGAGGTCTGCTGGTCGCTACGGTCCTCTCAACATCTGAATTTTTTTGAAATCACGAACTAAATTAGGAAATGGTCCCTATAGTGATGGTTAAAAGTATAATGTTCTCACCTCAAATGATCTCAAAACGTACTTTTATAGAATAACGGCAACAGAAAAGAAAAATTTTAACTTAATACTTAACCTGCCGCGGTGCATGCTGGGACAGCTGTCAATCTGGAGAACAGACAACAGCCTGCTCTGATGCATGCTGGGTAAAGAGGAATGGGCAAGAACAACATCCGGGGACTTTGTCCGTTCTCGGTCTTGTGAATTTGAACAGTACTAGGGCTGAGGCTGATGATATTTCACTAGCACAAGAGAATGTACAAGTACACATAGTGAGTAACGGTCTTAAATGACACGTCTTAAAAGAAATAACAAACATCTATTATTAAATCAAACAAAAAATTAACAATGGATACCAAATGGAGGGAGCGGCAATGCATTTTTTTTTTTTCACCTTTTGTGATCTCAAGGAATGGCTGAATAATGAATCTGTCAACTTCTTGGACAATAACAATAGAAGAAGGAAAAAAACGGCTCATATTGGCCTAAAATATCGGTTGGCCGACGTGTTGGTTTATCTCTAATAACCTTAATTCACCAACATATTTTCTAACTGGAGCTGATTATGAAGAACAATAAACAAAGGTAGCGAAAGGTTAGACTGATGCTAAAGAGGCCATCTAACCTCATAGACTTGGAACAAATCAACACAAGATCCATTTTTAAAATGCCAGCAAAAATTTGCATTTATAAAGGGTCTGCTGATTGCTGGCTGCTTTCTTATTATTATTTTATAGAAAAGCTGAAGCTAATTTGCAGTTGAAAGAATGTTCAGTGATGTTTGTTCTTGTTTATTAAGCATCAGATAAAAACTAAGTTAGATTTTTTATTAGAAACAGCATTATGTACAACAAATAAACATATATGTGGCTGTACTTTCATTTACTTGATAGAGTTATGTAGTTGTGACAACATAATCTGTCATTTTACACTGAATGCATCAGACTGAGGCTTGATCTGTTGGTGCCATATTTCGATGTAGTCCAGACATGCCTCAGTCAGTATAAATATTAGATACCACAAGGACAGACTGTCATTTTCTATTATTACAGATTTCAAGTTAATGTGTTCATTAAACGCCTGAAAAACGA